ATGTATTATTTGGGACCCCACATCTGGTCTGCCACGCCTCCTTCTGCCTGTTGCATACATTTCAACAAAACCATTATTGCGCACAGTCTGTAAGTGGAACAAATGCCCCGGCTGTAGCTCGGCGTTGTCATCGCTCTTGCCCATATTGGCGCAGCAAAGAGGATGACGGACCTAATGACGCTCATTACAAGAAGGAGTTAATCTTGTGTCTATCATGACGCCCTCTTTGACGCAATGGTGACGCTGCCCATCTTTATATTGGCAGTTTCCACTCTTTTGCGACGTCTTACTAAGACGACTTCGGTTTTGCGTGCCGCTAGCTCGAGCCCAGCTCCTGTCAACCTGTTTCATACGCGATTGATACTTTCGCTGCACATATCCTCTGTATCTTTAAGCTCCTTGCCTATGGCGACGACAGCTACATCATCAGCAAAGCCAATGGTGTGCGCACCTGCTGGTACTTCCAAGCGCAGTACGCCGTCGTACATAATATTCCACAAGAGAGGCCCCAGCACTGAGCCTTGGGGTACTCCAGCTGACACTGTATGAGTTTGGGGACCCTCACTCGTGTTGTATACCAGTGTTCTTCCTCTGATGTAGCTCTTTATTATCTCTTTTAGATATTTAGGAATATTATATTGTGAGAGCGCATCCAGTATCATATCCCAACTAGCTGTGTTAAAAGCATTCTTTACATCCAGGGTCGCGACGATGTAGTATTCCTTCGTCCCGTGCCTCCATCTGGTGCCTTGAATAGCGGAAGTGGCCAGACCGACAACTTTGTTAAGCGCGTCCGTTGTTGACCGGGCCTTCCGGAATCCAAATTGGTTTGGTGACAGGCCTCCGGCGCTTGCAATCGCAGTCTCCAGCCTAGAGCAGATCAGTTTCTCAAACACCTTTCCCATGGTGTCTAAGAGACAGATTGGACTATACGAAGATGGCTCCTCTGGTGATTTGCCAGCCTTGGCTAGCAATACCAAGTTCTGGGTCTTCCCTTTTGCAGGGAACGTCTCCTGCATTAAACATTCGTTGTATAATTCGGCAAATGTACTAGGGTGCAAGGCGAGGGCTAGCTTTAGCGCACGATTTGGGATCCCGTCCGGCTCTGGAGCTGTGTTAGATCTAAAACCTCTGAGAGCTACTAAGATTTCTTCGTCTGTAACTAGAACAATTTGAGTGCTCGTTGAGCCCTGCTCAGCAGAATCGGACTCAGGGGCATGAATGGATTTAAGCTCCAAGCGATCCGTAGGCTGCACCTGTTTACCTGCGTATAGTCTTTTAACTACTATCTTATGTGCCCTGCTCCAAGGGTCATATTCGGCTGAGTCGCACAACTCTAAAAAGCATTCTCTTTTGCTTGCCCGAATGGCCCTCTTCAGCTGTCTTCTAGCTGCCTGGTAAGCTAATTGTTTCTCAAAAAACGTAGACCTACCGCGAGTCCGCTGATAGATTCTTCTCGCCTGGATGCATTTGCGTCGAATGTCACCTATTTGTGCGTTCCACCAATACGTAGGCTCTTGTTGTCGCGTGAACTGCTTGCGACGTAACATGCTCCTATTGCAGGCACTCTTAATTTGGGCTACCATTTGGCATGCTCTGGCCTTAGCATTACCACTTGTGCCCAGAGACTGGATGGCCTCTGAAACGGGATGGCCGGGGATCAAAAGTATGCAGCCGATACGATCCCCTCCACAAGTTTGGCGCCCTGGCAGATGGCTCACCTATTGTGAACAGAAGTGCCGTATGATCACTGCCCGTATAACTATCGCAATGGCACCCTGTTGCTTCCCGGAAGAGGAGTGACAAAAGTAATGTCAATAATAGATTCGTATCCAGCCCGACTGAAAGTGAACTCGTGACCAGTGTTGAGCAGTGCAACATCAAGTGTCGCGAAGATCTCCAGTAGGATACGACCTCTGGCATTTGTTGTGTGGCTACCCCATTCTAACGCCCATGAGTTAAAATCTCCTTCTATAATGGCCTTCCGACCCCTAGCATCCTCGGCTAGCTCGTCAAGCACCGTTGTGAATTCACTGAGCTGATTGCTGGGGGCAATGTAGCAACTGTAGGGCCATAAGTTACCACATCGGCCACGTACGAACCCATTGAATGATTTAACATTCGAAAGTACATTCGTTGAGTTGCCACATACCCACAACACAGCTTTGCCATTGGCGTCTGTTGACCATGTCCTATGGCAGATGGTCCTACAGTGATGAGGCTCACTGAGAAAGGCTACGTTAATGCATTTTTCTCTTATGGTCTGCTCTAGTAGATCTTGGGCAGCAACAGAGTGATTTTAGTTAAGCTGGAGGAACTTTAACATTTCATTTTACGCGCAGCTTCACGGTAGGATGGACACCTAAAGCTACCTGCTGAGTGGTCCGTCTGCTTTTCACCTTTCCGGCCGCAGAGGCTACATTTAGGTGGCTTGGTGCATGCTTTTGCATTGTGACCCATCTCTCCACACCTGAAACAAGCACCCTTTGGGTCACAGTCTCTGCCGCATTTGGCTGCAATATGTCCATAATCGAGGCACTTGAAAATGCGTTTGGGCTGGTCCACGGCTCGGATACGGCATACTACCCATCCTATTCTAATTTTGGACAGCTGGAGCAGAGTTTTGGCTTTCCCAATTGGGAGAGCAACCGTAACACTTTGCTGTCCACCAAAGGCTGGTCGAAGCGATTTGATAATCTCAAAGGGGAGTGAGTTATCCTTCAACTCCACCCCAATGGCCTCCTCATCTAGGTCGCGAATCTCAATTTGAGCCGATTCGGTAAGTGTTTTAACTACCGCTCGGTTGCCCAAGGCCTTGTCTACAGCTTTGTGCAGGGCCTCAACGCTATACTCCGGCTTCCTACTCAGTTGCAAGAAAAGATCCCCGTTAGCTGTCTTCCTAATGCCTTGAACGTCGCCGCTCAGATGCTTTAAATTTGGGTCGGTCTTGACTACACGAAGCATGTCCGCATAGCTGCAACCACTCAGGCCTGAAATCACTTCTGGGTCGTTTTTGCATGGGTTTGCGTCCTTAAACGACTGTCCAGCTGTTCGGGCTTGTCTGTTGACCTGCCAGATTTGAATTTTCAGCTGTAGCTGGGTTCGCTGCGCTTTTATTAGGCCTCGGCATTTTTGAGGGTGTTTTCCTCTGATCGGTGGCAGTTTCCCTCGACCGCTTAGGCGTATTGCTACCTGAGATCGCACTAGCGCTCGCTTTCTCCACTACTTTCTGTAGCAGCATGGTCTGTACCTCGCAGTTTTTAACCGGTCGGTTGCAGAGCTTTTCGGCCGTCTTATGGAGATTGACCAGCCTAGCCAGCTCCACATTAGGGCATTAATATGCCGCTGACCCCCAAATAAGGCAGTCAAGCCCTCTAGAGTAACTCCTATTTGGGCTAACGCTTCTTTTAGTGAGTTGGGTGCCTGGCACTCAGGCACTGGGGACTGATTAAAGGTCGACGGCTGCGGCAGCGCCCTCTGTTGTTGCTGCGGTGATCTCTGCAACAAGGAACGACGCGCGAAAGCTTGCAGCTCGTCCTCCATCCTGGCATCCATTTTTTGCTCCGACAACGACGTGAAGCCTGTAGTGAGCAATGGCTACTAATATAATTTGAGTTTATAGACCACAGTATCCTAAACTCAGCTTAACTACAGCAAGAGCCCGAAAGTATGCACTACTTTTAGTAACTGCATCTTCGCTTCAGATGTTAGGGTGGCGTGTCGGTGTGTGTGTATTTGTGTGTGTGCGTGTTTCGGTGTGTGTGTATGTGTGTGTTTCTTGTGTAAGCTGGAAGACGCGAAATATTATTGAAATAGCTATTACTCCAAGGGTTCAGGGGATCTCGTAGTCGAGCAGTCTCGACTAGAGCTTTCTTACTTGTTATACCCTGAACTCATTGAAAATAGGAAATCAGGGTATAATGGTTTTGTTCAATGTATGTAACAGGCAGAAGAAGGGGTGGCAGACCCTATAAAGTATATATATTCTTGATCAGGGCGACGAGCTGAGTCGATTTAGCATTGTCCGTCTGTCCGTCCCTCCGTCCGTATGTACGGACGCATCGATCTCAGAAGATATAAGAGCTAGAGACTTAAAATTTTTTTCTAAAATATAGATAATTCATTCCGTTATTTTTTATCGATAAAAACCTTATCGAACCTTATCAGCTATAAAATTATATCTCCTATATCTTTAAAGCTAGAGTCTCCAATTTTTAAATGTATACTTATATGCATTATGTGCAATTTCGATTTTTGTCAAAATTTACCCACCACCCCTAATTCACCCCTCACTATCACATTTGTAAAAGGCGTATTTCAAATACTAGACTTGTGCTTTGGCAAATACAAGAAAAAGTTTCATGAAGATAGTTCATCCACAAGAAAAGTTATTAAACAATGAGCTTCCCATAGTAAGCCAATACTGCAGGCAATGCGTGTTTATACGTACATACGTTTGTCTGTGTGTGTGAGTGTATGTGTGCATATGCGAATAATTATTGAAATATCAGTTGCTCGAAGGGTTCAGGGGATCTCGTAGTCGGGCAGTCTCGACTAGAGCTTTCTTACTTGTTATACCCTGAACCAATTTTCAATGGGAAATCAGGATATAATGGTTTTGTTGAAATGTATGTAACAGGCAGAAGGAGGCGTGGCAGACCCCACAAAGTATATATAGTCTTGAACAGGGCGACGAGCTGAGTTGATTTGGTCTGTCTGTCCGTCCGTCTGTTCGTATGTTTGCACGCGTCGATTTCCGAAGATATAAGAGTTAAAGACTTGAATTTTTTTAATGACCGTATATACAGCGCGGTTGTCGAGTTTGCTTTTAAAATTCGATAAATCATCCCGTTATGTTTTTATCGAATAAAAACATTCAAGTTCAAGTCAGATGCCACTATAGCTAATTGTGAATGATTTTCCATCTTTTTTTTAATTTCCTAAATATTCAATATAATATGTAGATCATATGCTGAAAGTTTCATTAAATTCCGTTAAGTCAAAAAATAATAATCAAGTATTTGGCCATTTAACAAAAGCACGTGAGGCAGCTTCAACAGTATTGTATACTAGACTTGGGTAGCTCATGAGTGAGTGAGCTAAAATGAATGGCTCACTGAACTGAGGCAGTGAGGCAGTTCCTTCTATATGGCTCATTTTGGCTCACTAGCTCATTTTGGTTGACTAGCGCATTTTTGCTCACTCGCTCATTTTGCGTTCTTCTCAATCGCAAAGTTAACGTTTTTTCCCGCGAATTGTGTATTTCATCAAACTTTCAATGTCGGTAATTAGAAAGCACAGCGAAACTTTGACTCATTTTGAGGACATGGGAAATCAGCAGGTGAGCCACATGAGTGAGTTGGCTCACTTCACAAAAAAGAGCGAGTGAGCCGGTTCACCTCAATGAGCTGCTTTTACCCAAGTATATTGTATACGTGTGCACACTAGTGCTGTAAAACTATCGATTGAACTATCGATCTATCGAATATTTATATTTCTGCGTCCATATCGATTGTTTTTTATACTATCGATAGAGATGATATCGTGCGTTGCACATCAATTACTTTGGCGCAACTTCGCAAGTCGGCGGCTCTTTTTGGTAAGAAATACATTTATAAGAAGCAATTAAGTATAAAAATAAGTATTTATTTTTAGGTAAATTTTCGTTGGTGTTGGTGGCTGGACAGATTATCACGAGCTGCCTTAAAAGCTAAGCATGTGGACATGCTTGTCTTTCTTAATCATAACCACTGACCAAACAACACATAGACTAGACATGTAGAGAAACGTTTTTCCACGCCGCAAAATCTGTGTAGCAGGTCCCGGCCAACTTCGTATTCGCTCGGCTTGGTATTGGCTGGCTCGGGTAATGAAAGATAGCACGACGAAATCAGTGCGCTCTAAGCACGCAAACGAAATGGTCATGCATGCGCTTTGCGTTTTTTGTCTTACTCTCCCTCTCTCTCTCTCTAACTCTCTCTCTCTCTCTCTCTCTCTCTCTCTCTCTCTCTCTCTCTCTGTGGGCTCTCAAATCATGAAGCTCAGCAGCGCACAAAAATTGAAATTTCTTCGCGACGGTCCCCGCTCTTTCCTTTTGAGTAAAGAGTATACCGAAATCTTCAAATCGTTTGCGACATTCATGCAAACAAAATGTTAGCGTTTCGATATATATTTATGGGAAGGGTATGAATGCGTTGAGGCGCATAAAGAATATGATCTCGCGACGGGCATGCACACACACACTTGTAGTCCCTTGCCACATACATGTATGAGCATTTGTGACCTGCGTGCGTTACTCTTGCTGCTTGTAGCAATTTTAAAGCCCAGCATTTGCATTTGGTCGGTCTTACGGACTGTCATAACCACTTTACACAGATGTACTATGTATGAACATACATATGTATGTACATAAGTACATTTATTTATTATTATTGCTAATCATGTTTATAAATGTGTTTATATCCGTAAATAATTATATATAATTAAAATTATTTTATACACATTTTCAGCCGAAAAAATTATCGTAAAACACTACTAACTTTATTAAATGCTTTGCAATATATGAAATACACATGTCATATTATACTCACGCTTTACTCATTATTGTCAAAAATTTTCTAATTTTGGCTCACTTACTCATGAGCTACCCAACAGGGTGACCGAATATGGTATTTTAAATACTTTTTGGTATTTTATCAGCTCCGATTTTGCTCAAAAGTATTTTAATGGTATATAGGTATTTAGTAGCATTTTTCTTCGATTTTATGGTATTATATGGTATTTTCGGTTTGGTCACTCTTTAAGTCTTAATGAATCGAATGCTTAATGCTTAAGACTTGCTTAATTTTAAAACAAATAAATAGAAAACATGAGCAATAAGCAAAAATATAGAGCTGAGTGGGAGACTATGCCGGAAAATGAAAAATGGCTAATAATATGGATGCGCACTGCAAAGCGTGCCAGACTAACATTTTGAGTAGGCTGGCGTCACTTAAACAGCATGCGGCTACACAAAAACAAAGATTTAATAATTTTGCCCGTTTCTAATCCGTTGTGTGAACGCATATTCTCTCAAATTAATTTAATCAAAACGAAAAATCGAAACCGCTTTAAAAATGTAAATATATCACATATATTACATGTACAATAATCATTGCCCGAAAATGGGTGCAATAATTTTAGGCCCAGTGAACAAGTGTGATGTAAAAATTTCAACAAATTGAATTTAAGCTGCTCTGACGAAGAAGGCTAGTAAATATAATTAAATGATCTTAAGAGAAACTGAGAAACTGAGAAACTGAACAAAGAAGTTCCTTTATTATTTTATTTTAAGAAAATGTTACAAAATGAATTTTAAGCATTTAATTAATTTTAAGACTTTAAATATATATTGGAATATGGAATTGAATACGAATGCATATGTTCTAGTTTTATGTTGGACTGAAATATTATTAATTTTTTAAAATGAAATAAACAACAAACTTTTTTTGCAATGGGTAAACCCTTATTTTTTCTATATATAATAAGTCAGTTATTATTTTATTATAATTTGAATTTCCAGACGATTTATTTGTTATGGTATTTATAGTGGTATTTTGTAAAATATGAAATAGTATTTTATAGTATATTTTTGAGACCAAATTGGTATTTTTCGTTTGGTCCGGCGCGGTCACCCTGTTCATGCGCTCGACCGAGATGGTCAAATGTTGAATAAAAGATGCCTCTATGCCAGAGCTTGCAAATGAGAGTTGAGCGTTTTTTCGTTTATTCTCTTTCTCGCATCATACCCAAAAAAAAATTGTGTAGACACGTCTCTCTCTGAGCGTCACTCTCTTTTTTCTTTAGCATCTGTTTCGCTCAGACGCAATGCGATCACTCATTCGTGTGACGCTCTCACATGAGTGTCGCATAAAACTAACACAATTTTCCCTCACACAAAGCTTCTCAGCAAAAAACACTTTGACTAACAAACTCAGCAGAAAATGTTTTTGCCTTCGTGTGCATGTAAATACACGCATACATACATACAAAAAGAACGCAGCAATCGCGCGTGATTACCCATACAAACGCAACTTACCGTTACTTCTTTAACTCAAGCAAACGATCAGTGTTTGACTTGAGGAAACGAAAACAGAAACAACTATCTCCCTCAGAGCGCGAGAGAGCTAAGCCAGACGCGACAAAAACACTTTCTGTCTGAGTATTTTTTGCCTGTGTCACTGAAAGACACTTTTTTGCAGACAACGAAAAAGTGTTAACAGTTTTTTGCGAGCTATGCTCTATGCTCAATTTTTTTCTTGCTCTCTCGCTCTCTCTGCTCTCTCAATATGTATATGCATATATGCATGTGAGCACAACCCAGTGGCGACGACCTGAATGAGGTCTGTTGAAATAATGCATTACATACGACAAAAAAGTAATGCATTACCTATGAACATTTTTTTCAGCGCATTTGTAATGTACAAAATAAAAAGTGCTACTCATACGACAGAATCGAGCTCTTGTCAACTTCGTTTCTGTATGCCCCTTCCCCGCTAACCAACAAACGATTTTCGTCTTTCGTTGCGTCGCGACGAAATCGCCGAATTTCGTTTTGGACTTTACCGTTTTTTGCATGGAATGCGTGCCTTCTTTCGTTTGGTTTCTTTGTCTATGCCAATTTCTTTTGTGTGTATAGTGTTAATGAGTGTAAATACAAGTTCAAAAATGCATATGTGTGATGATTTCTGTTTTCGTTTTACCCGCCGCGGCGCGTCACTTTTCTGCTATTGTTGAGCCGTGCGGACGTAAATTTAAAGGGAAGTATCTGGTATGTATACATCATCTTACATGTATTTTTAATGACAAAAAAATTAATATTGTTTAATTTACAGATGCTATAAAAACCGAAGGGTCCACTAAGAAGACCTATATAAGTACAATAAGAAACTGCTTTCGGGTCCAGAAAGGTCGACTGGCAAAGCAGAAGTTCGATAATAAGGACAAACTAGATAATAAGACATAGCTTTAGATTTTGATGAAGATAGATATAATAAAATAGTAATAAGACATAGTTTAAGACTATACATTTATTTATAGATATTAAGAAATAATAAATAATAATATTTAAAAATTAAAACAAAAAATACTACATTACTCAAGCGTTTCTATCTTTCAATTAGTAATCAATTATTTCTCCAATTACATTGCATTAAGAAGTAAGCCATTTTATATAGTGGGAAAATGGGTTGCAGGTATATTGTGTTGTAATGTACGCACATTACTAACCCATAAGCGATTTTGAAAATGTATAAGGCGTTTTCTTCAGGTTGCGGAATTTCTACATACATTACAATATGTAAAAAGTATACGCATGGGTAATGGAGAGCCGAAGGAAACTTCGTCACCTCATTACTTTCTGCATTACAAAATTCAATAATTTCATGCACCCGGGAGAAAAAGCGGCCATTCCTTAAAAAAGTAAGGCAGCTTGTAATCGATCTTTTCATGTACACAGGCGGCAAGTAATCCATGAGTAATGGACAAAATAATGGGCATTTCCGCCACTGGGAAGCAGCAGCTCACGAAAATTGAAATTTCTTCGCGTTAGACTGCCGTTTCTTCCCTTACGTGAAGTGTATTCCGAACTCTTCAAGCCGTTTGCCATGCGTTTTCGTTATTATTTGTGAGAAGGGTATGAAAGCGTTAGTGCGCATAATGAAAATGTTTTCGCGATTAGCATGCATACACACTCTCGCTTGCTACATGTACTATGAGCATTTGTATGCCTGTGTGCGAAGCTCTTGCCGCCTGTAGCAATTTTACAGTCCAGCATTTGCATTTGGTCGATCTTGTGAAGTCCTCACATACATATGTATGTATGTATGTATGTATATACATTTGATTGTGTGTACGCATGGGACATGAACATTGGCGTGTGCCTACCTCAACTTGGAATTGATTGAACGATTTAGGGTTTTAATTGAAGAGGCGCGCTTACATTTAAGTAGATGATTTTACTTCAATGATCGTGGGTTTGCCTATCAGAATGATTTTGTTTTTAAATGTAGTACCTGATTAATCCCAGTGGGCAAATTGGAATGCGATTTTCGATCCCTTGCACCTGCACATATACAGGTGAAATTTACCTTTTTAATAAGAAGCATATGTATGTACATACACACATACATATACGGGACAAATAGACCCATTTTAAAGGGTGCATCTGTTAGATGTTATAAAAATCATGCAATTAAAAAATACCTATAAAAGTAATAGGAAGTGCACTTGTTACTTTAGTTAGTCAGCTACTTAAATGTAAGCGCGCCTCTTCAAATAAAACCCAAAATCGTTCACACAATTCTAAAATGTCGTAGGCACATGCCAATGCTCATGTCGCATGCATACACACATAAACATACACACACGCACATACATATAAAGGCACTCTAATGCTTCTACAATGATTACCCCATCATTTGTGAGCATCGCGGCCCCTGCGTACACACAATCAAACATATGTATGTAAGTGTGAGGAGTTCACAAGATCGACCTAATGCAAATACTGGGCTTTAAAATTGCTACAGGCGGCAAGAGCCTCGCACACAGGCATACAAATGCTCATAGTACATGTAGCAAGGGAGAGTGTGTGCGTGCACGCTCGTCGCGAAAGCACTTTCATTATGAGCACCAACGCTTTCATACCCTTCCCACAATTAATAACGAAAACGCAAACATTCTGCACGAGCATGGCAAACGGCTTGGTATACTCTTCACACAGAAGGGAAGGCATGGGTTCTTGCTGCGACGAAATTTCAATTTTCGTGAGCTGCTGCTTGTGCTCACATGCATACATACTAGACGTCTGCATGATTACACTCGTAACAAAGCCACATTGAGTACATTCGAAATGAGTGGAATATGATTGAGTGAAAAGGACAGAATGAGACGAATGTGTATACTACTTTTTCGCAAGACGAACATGTTGTGTCTCATGCCGAATGACTGAGTATAACGAAAGAAGAGGAAAGTGAAAGGAAAACTTCGAAAACACTCGAACTACTCAAGTAGTTCGATGAATATTTTGTGTATTCATTTTGTGCTTTGAGAAATTGTGAGCAGACGTGCGAAATGGAAGCGGAACCTGCAGGAAAAAATATATGTATTTTTCGGCAAATACCAGCGTGTTGTTTTTGTGTTTTGTTTTGTTTAAAGCTTGTGTTTTAGCTTTACTAACAAAATGTGTAGTTGTGACCGTCTATATATGTTTTCTGTGTTGATATTTGCAGATTTATTATTTATTTAATTTAATTAATTAATTATTTAATTACTGAAAAGCGATGTTCAATAGCTTCCAACCCTGATAGAATTAATAAAATTATGTTTTTAAATTCGAATATTATTAATTAATTATTTGAAATAATTTACAAGTTTTCACTCAATTCAATGATGACTTTGTACAGTTGAATGTGCTTTTTTTGCCATTCATGCAGACGTCTAATACATACATATGCATATTCGAGAGAGCAGAGAGCATCGAGAGAGAGAGAGAGAGAGAGAGCAAGGGAAACATTGAGCATAGAGGGATCTTTTGTTCAAAATTTGACCATCTCGGTCGAGCACATGAAGCGAAATGATTGTGCGTTCGTATTTTTTCGTAGCTCGAGCCTAAAAGTAAGGAGCCGAGCGAGTCCAAAGCAGTCTGGGGTGTTAAAGCCTCAAAAAAGCGTGCAAAAAGCTTTCCACTAGTTGTCTAGTCTATGTGTTCTCTGGTTAGTGGTAGTACCTAATGCAAATTTTTTCGGTGGTGAAAAAGTTTGTTCTACATGTCTCATCTATGTGTTCTTTGGTCAGTGGTTCATGGTAGTATCTAGTCGAGCAGACTAGAGTTTTCTTACTTGTTTTCTTTGCACATTTTGAATTACACTGACGAGAAAACAGTAACACGGACTCAACATTTAATGGTTTATATTTTCGCCTCTACTCTATGTTTGCTTAAGAGATATGCCTTGTTTTCTTACTGCAATATTTAGATCTCTTACTTGAGGAAGGAATCGCTTACCAGATGTCTTTGGTCCTCCCCCATAACTCCATAATTCCACTTTGAGGGGCCGCATATTTTGCAAGCAACGACTTCACATAACTTTCTAGTTTTTCAATGGAATTTTTGGTTGAATGCCAGGACTAGAAACGTTTAATCACAAATCACAATAAAAATAATATATCATTTAAAAATAAATACTAAACACATTTGATTAAAACGCTCTAAGTGAATAATTTATATGTATGACAGCAAGTATGTTAACATATGTAGACATAGTACAATATAACATCTGCATATAGACGCTGTAAAATTATAACATTTTTGTAATTACGAAGTTTACATACTCAACGCTGTGAATAGTCTTATTTTTTACTATATAAGCTTATCATTCAAGCCGTCAGCATCTAATGACTTGTTCGACTTAAACATATAAATGTTATCATTACAGCCCTGATTGAAACTTTGAGATTTGGAGCTGGAAGTTATATTATACATATCGTCCAGATCCTGGCTAAGACGAAATCTGTATGAGAAAAAGTATTATCTACTTAGCAAACAAAGTATCTAATTTGATTACTTACGTGCTCACAGGCCTGCTATAAATTGAATTTAAGGAACCTTCTAAATGGTTGCTATTGATGCTGTTACTATCGATGTCGTACTCGTTGATATTCGAGCTGTTGTAGAAATCGCAATTTTGTAAGTACTCTGATCGCATAAACGTGTTCAAGTCATTATCATTATCATTATTTTCTGTGTAATCCTGTTCATTATCACGTTCCTGCTGCGACTCTACCATACAAAGCCACTGGGAGTTGTGATTTCGGAACTTTTCTAGCTGCTCGGAATAAAAAAAATAATTAAAATATCAGATACTTCGAGGATTAAAAATGTAAGTAAACTTTAGTTCTATTCCCCCCAAGGGAAAGTAGACTCAGCACTCCAGTCGCTCACTTACCAAAACAAAAATCTTTCGCTTGTGTAATCATTAGAATTTTACCATAAACATTACCTATTCGCGAGTTATTTACGTTATTGTACATATTGTTTATCACATGATATAAACGGATATCCTAACAATTCCATTACAGCTCACCTCGACCTGATGAAGTATATATGTATGTTTAAGTTAACGAGAGCCCTTAGCTCTTAGTTCTTAAGTCTACATTTAAGCTTTTGCTACCCAACAAGGCTAACAATTGGATTTATAAAAGGAATCCCAGCAATGCTTCAGAAGTCGCGAAGTGCAAGCAAGAGATAAAAAATCTTTATCTTTGTGCGACAAGTGCAGAATCTGACGATATATTTACTTAGAGGATAAATTACGAAATGAAATAATAATAAATATTTGTAATCAACTAATATTAACTCACCTTGATACGCTTTGCCCACTCGTTGTCGCTAATTGCAATTATATCTAGACAATAATCACATACTTTTCTAATTTCCTCATTCTTGTCATGCATAAGATCTATAAGATAGGCAGGCGACTCAGTTTCCCTAATCATATACTCCCTTGTACTTTCGTGTCTCAAAATCTGTTGGAACACAAAAATGATTTGTAGCACAATCTCATCATCTTCTTGCTTGGCCTTTAAAAGCTCAATCAGTGAAATCACAACCTTCGCGCGACAGAAAAGGAGAGCACAAAGCTCATCGCATGCACATGTTCCCAGATAAACTATAGTATCAAGAACAATATCATCAAGTCTTGCGCAGGGTATTAATACTTTTCGTATCCAAGATATTAGCTGAAAGTTTTGGAGTATTTGCGAATAATCTAGGTCAGTTAATGTTAGATTTCCTAATAAGCCTAAACACTCTACAATGAAAGATTCCTCTTCACAGATAGTCAGTACACGTGCAAGATCCCCTACATAGTCTATGTATTGAAGTTTTAGTGATTCATGCTGTGAAATATTTCGTAATAGTTTCATCAAGAGAGCATCCTGGTACTTGAACGAACGATCCATAAGACTGTGCAGACGCTGACCTTCAACCATAATTTGTGCATTACGTCGGTTCAATGACAAATTTATACAAAGAGCAATGAGATCCAGATCAACTTTTACATTAAGATTCAATATAATAGCATCTATGGCCATTTGTACACACTCCGTGTGAATGAACATTGACTTGACCCTATCATCGAGGCTCATATGATACAGTATCTTAACTGCAATGCCATGATGATTTTCGTCGTTGATAAACATAACTAGCATAGGCAAATAACCAGCTGCAACCATTTTTAGGCGTAGAGTCGCATCAAACGATAAATTGAATACTAGCTTAAGAGTAACTTGCACCAAATCTGTATGTGAATTTTGAAATAACCTTGGTAGTTTTGCGATAATATTTAAGTCGCACATTTCATCCTTATTTTCGCCAACAATTGACAGTTTTTTAAGAAACGTGATTATTAATATGAGCAAATCAATGTTTTGACGATCAAGTCCTTTGACGAGCATTCTAACAATGTTTTTTCTCCTCATTTTTTCCTCAAGCTTTACATTCTCGGCCATGTTAAGCAGCAGGTAAAAGGCAACACGAAGGAGCTGTTCCTGCTTTTTGGCAAATATTTTAAGTTGTTTGTTAAGTCGATCAATTTCTTCTTTCTTAATTTTTGGGTCATTTTGGTCTAATGAATCGATGCTTTGCGCTCTTATCTCAATCGGAGAATTTGTTTCTAATGTATTTGTATTAGAATTTGTATGAGTTCCAGAAGAGAGTGCTTCGTGGTAACTGTTGTTCAGCATTTGATTTCTCATAAGCGAAGATGACATTGTTCCATGAAAGCTACTCCAATTACCCGACTTTGGTCGCTGCTTTAATTCTGGTATTCGCCGACGAGGAGGCTCCATCTGAAAATATAATTTTGGATATTTTTATTCCCTGAATACATTAAAAATGGGAACTGAAATTTTGAAACAAGTAAGAATGCTCTAGTCGAGACTGCTCGGCTCGGAGATACCCTGAAACCCACAAAGAACTGATTTCCAATAATTCTGCACTTATTTGATACACACATGTACAGATATGTACATCCGCCACGTATAAGCACGGGCTAGCTACGCAGATAACAGCGACTGCGTTTGGGCTGCAATGTGGACAATATTATGAGAATTTATTTATTGAATAATATATACATATATATTATTTATTGAATGATATAAGTTATTTCATTTTGTAGTGTGGAGGCTTTATTTAGCGATCCACAAAAGATTTGTATAAGCTCGACTTTATTCTAATTAATAGCTATTAGCAACAGCTTGTGCGTGTTGCTCTTAAGTGAGTTCTTTTTGATACTGAATAATATATATATATATAATAATAGTGACATTTAAAAGAAAATTCAGATTAATCTCTCAGCGCAATGGAATGCACAATATTCATTGTGCTCATTCAACAGAGCGTCCTACTCGCTGACGATGCGCGTTGCAAAAGTTGAATTGAGGTGATTATAGTTGCAACGTGCATCCACGGGATTGGCGAGTGCGCGTTCGAAGTCCTCGCCACCCATAAAGTAAATTTCTAAAAATTTATAAGGTTCCTTTGGCATTGGTAGCAATGAACCGACTTTGTGGTAAACTTGATTTTGATTTTGAATGTGGAATTAAATTATTGACCATTTGCAGCAGTATTTTTAACTATTTCCGTTGCTCCAAACGATGTCATTTGAAAACATAAATTGAATTTTCGCATTGACTGCAAGAACAGCGAAGATCAGTTCCTGATGAGCAGCACATCCCGATCGGCTCATTTTTAAATTTAAAGGCAGGGCAGTGCGGGCATTCTTTGTCCAATGTACCAATGACCACTTTGGAATGTGCTGTAAATGCTCGATTTACTTGTTGACATAGTCGGTCAATCCCTCTACGGCTGTAGACTACGAGTCTGCGCGCTTCTCTTCGTTCTAATTGACTTTGCTAGTTTCTGTTAACTGCGTGTTTATACGTAAGTGTGAATGCGTGTGTATGCATATGTGCATAAAAGAAGTGGAGAATGAGTAGAATATCAGCTTAGAGGGTATCTCCTGTGGAGTAGTCTCGACTGGAGCCTTCTTACTTGTTTATAACGTGATCATAATGTTGAAATGTATGTACATTTCGAAGCACTTAAAAAACGTTTCATACAAATTGATTAGCGGAAGGGACGTGGTATCAAAATCAGTAATTTACAAAATCTTTGTATTCATAAAATATATATATACAGTAAATCTGAAGTTTCCAGGTCTAAAACTGTTCAAATTAGGCTGAAAAAAAAAAAAAAAATATATCTGACAAGTTATTGAAAAATATGATAGACTTGTACTGCCTAAGGGAATACACGAGTATGTATGCAAGATTTCGGTTCTCTAGCTCTTATATCTTCTAGATAGACGGACAGGGCTATGTCGACTAATACTGATCAAAAAAATATATACTTTATAGGGTCTGAGCTGATTCCATCTGCCAGTTACATACTTTTTACATTATACCCTGATTTCTTATTTTCAATGGGTAGGGTATAATTAGATTTAAGCTCAGACCACATAAAACTCCCCATCTTATTCAACGCAGGCAAACGCTTAATGAATACTCACACGTACATTGACACCCTGCTAAAACACGACATTGACACAGCGTTAGACACATTTACCAAACACATACAAGAAGCAGCTTGGCGGGCGTCAGGGCATCAACCGCCCCTGTCGCCCTGCTGGGCTTGTCATTACCCTTTCCGATGATGTCAATTCACTGATTACATTATAAAGGCAAATTAGAAGAAATTGGTTGCGCTTTGGGAATCCCATCGACAACACAAAATGGAAGAGACTTACCATAGAAATCAGACGAGAAATATTTAGAGATAAAGAAAAACGAACGCTACATTAAATTTTCACACGCAAAACTCATGAAAACTGACAAAGAACATTAAAAGACATCCCAAAACTTACCACCAGGGCATTAATAGCTGGTTTAAATCAGATGAAGACAAAACTATTCGATACAGATTTAAAGACTTGATTTACTCCATTGACTAAAGTTACACTTAACAGAATAAGCTTTATCAGACAGGAATTTCAAGAAGTAACCTTAGATACTGACTCTATTACAATCTTTTCATTTGATGAACTTCCTTCCGAGTTAAACTCTTTAAAACCCAAAAAGTGTCCTGGACCCAGAAATGTATCAAAATATCAATATATCGATATTTTTTGTTTAAAAATTATATTTATATAAGGATTTTTATTTTGGCCAAATATCTAATATTTTTATACCCTGAACCCATTGAAAATGGGAAATCAGGGTATAATAGTTTTGTGACAAGTATGTAACATGCAGAAGGAATCATCGCAGACCCCATAAAGTATATATATTCTTGATTAGGACGACGAGCTGAGTCAATATAGCCCTGTCCGTCCATCCGTCCGTATGAGCAAAAGGATCCCAGAAGATATAAGAGCTAGAGAGCTGAAATTTGGCATGCATACTTGTGTATACCATAGGCAGTACGAGTTTGCTTTATTTTTTCGATAACTCATCCAATAACTTTTTTATCGAGAATAATCGAAAAATCGACATTGTTTTTTCAGCCTAATTTGAATACTTTTAGACCTGAAGACTTCAAATTTGCGTTATTTTTAAAGTTAATGGATACAAAGATTTTGTAATTTACAGATTTTGGATACCACGCCTTATTCGCCCCAATTTGTAAAAAACGCATTTCAAGTACTAGAGACTTGGGCTTTGGAATGTACACACATTTTAACCATATGATTACGCTCTTATAGTTTCATTAAGATTGTGTGTCTACAAAAGAAATTATTCAACAAATAAGTTCTCACAATATTGCCCACATTGCAGCGCAGCCCAAGCGCAGCCGCTGCTTACTGCGCAGTTAGCAGAGCGCGCGCTTATAAGTGCATGTGTATGTATGTGTGCATAAAAGAAGTCCAGAATGATTAAAATATCAGCTTGGAGGGTTCAGGGTATCTCCTAGTCGAGCAGTGTCGACTAGAGGTTTTTTACTTGTTATACCCTGAACCAGAGCTTGCAAATGAGAGTTGATCGTTTTTTCGTTTATTCTCTTCCTCGCATCATAACCAAAAAAATTGTGCGGACACGTCTCACTCTCAGCGTCACTCTCTGTTTTCTTTAGCATCTGTTTCGCTCAGACGCAATGCAATGACTCATTCGTGTGACGCTCTCACATGAGTGTCGCGTAAAACTAACACGATTTTCCCTCACACAAAGCTTCGCAGCAAAAAACACTTTGACTAAAAAACTCAGCAGAAAATGTTTTTGCCTTCGTGTGCATGTAAATACACGCATACATACATACAAAAAGAACGCAGCAATCGCGCGTGATTACCCATACAAACGCAACTTACCGTTACTTCATTTAACTCAAGCAAACGATCAGTGTTTGACTTGAGGAAACGAAAACACACGAAGCGTTCTGCAACCGCGGACTGCAACCGGACTGACGCGATTGCGATTTCAGGCGTAGGGGGTTGCAGCTATGCGGACATGCTCCGCAACTGAGTAGGAAGCCGGAGCATAGCGCTGAGGCTCTGCACGAAGCTGTAGGCAAGGCCTTGGGAGACCGAGCGGTAGTTAAAACACTTACCGAATCGGCTCAAGTTGAGATTCGCGATCTAGATGAGTTAGCGACCAAAGAGGAGATCATGGAGGCAATTAGGGTGGAGTTGAAGGATAGCTCACTCCCCATTGAGGCTATCACATCGCTTCGGCCAGCTTTTGGTGGACAGCAAAGAGCTACGGTTGCTCTTCCAGTTGGGAATGCTAAAACTCTGCTCGAGCTGTCCAAAATTAGAATAGGATGGGTAGTTTGCCGTATCCGAGCCGTGGAGCAGCCTAAACGCTGTTTCAAGTGCCTCGATTACGGTCATATGGCAGCAAACTGCGGCAGCGACTGTGACTTAAAGGGCGCCTAGTTCAAGTGTGGAGAGATGGGTCACAGTGCCAAAGCATGCACCAAGCCACCAAAATGTAGCCTCTGCATCCGGAAAGGTGAAAAGCAGACGGACCATTCAGCAGGCAGCTTCAAGTGCCCATCTTACCGTGAAGCTGCTCGTAAAATGAAATGTTAAGGTTTTTGCAGCTTAACTTAAATCATTGTGTTGCTGCCCAAGATCTCCTAGAGGAGACCATTAGGGAAAAATGTATAGATGTAGCTTTTCTCAGTGAGCCTCACCACTGTAGAACCAGCTGCTCTAGGACATGGTCAACAGACGTTAATGGCAAAGCTGCGTTGTGGGTATGCGGCAACTCAACGAACGTACTTTCGAATGTTAAGTCATTCAATGGGTTCGTACGTGGCCGATATGGTAGCTTATGGCTCTACAGTTGCTATCTGGCCCCCAGCATGCAGCTCAGTGAATTCACGACGGTGCTCGACGAGCTTGCCGAGGATGCTAGGGGTCGGAAGGCCATTAAAGCTGGAGATTTTAACTCCTGGGCGCTAGAATGGGGTAGCCCCACAACAAATGCCAGAGGTCGTATCCTACTGGAGATCTTCCCGACACTAGATGTTGCACTGCTCAACACTGGCCATGAGTACACCTTCAGTCGGGCGGGATACGGGTCTGTTATCGACATTACTTTTGTCACTTCATCCCTCTTTCGGGGAGCAACATGGAGCCATTGCGATAGCTATACAGGCAGCGATCATACGGCACTTCTGTTCACAATAGGTGAGCCACCTGCCAGGGCGTCAACATTGTGGAGGGAGTCGTATCGGCTAGATACTTTTGATCCCGCGGTCTTTTCAGAGGCCATTCAGTCTCTGGGTACAATTGGTAATGCTGAGGCCAGAGCATGCCAAATGGTAGCCCAAATACAGAGTGCCTGCAATAGCAGCATGTTACGCCGCAAGCAGTTCACGCGACAACATGAGCCTACGTATTGGTGGAATACGCAAATAGGTGACATTCGTCGCAAATGCATCCAGGCGAGCAGAAGCTACCAACGGGCTCGCGGTAGGTCAACGTTTTTTGAGAAACAGTTAGCTTACCAGGCAGCTAGAAGACAGCTGAAGAAAGCCATTCGGGCAAGCAAAAGAGAATGTTTTTTACAGTTGTGCGACTCAGCCGAATATGCCCCTTCGGGCAGGGCATATAAGATAGTAGTTAAAAGACTATACGCAGGTAGACAGGTGCAGCCTACGGATCGTCTGGAGCTTAAATCGATTGTGGAAACACTCTTTCCAGAAAGTTTAAGCTCCATTCACGCCCCTGAGTCCGAGTCTGCTGATCAGGGCTCAACGAGCACTGAAATTGTTTTAGTTACAGAGGAAGAAATATCAGTAATTCTCCGAGGTCTTAGAACCAACACAGCTCCAGGGCCGGACGGGATCCCAAATCGTGCGCTAAAGCTAGCCCTCGCCTTGCACCCAAGTACGTTCGCCGAATTATTTAACGAATGCCTGATCCAAGAGACGTCCCCGGCAAAATGGAAAGCCCAGAATCTGGTATTGCTACCCAAGGCTGGCAATCCACCAGATGAGCCATCTTCGTACAGACCGATCTGTCTCTTAGACACCATGGGAAAGGTGTTTGAGAAACTGATCTGCTCTAGGCTGGAGACTGCGATTGCAAGCGCCGGAGGCCTGTCACCAAACCAATTTGGATTCCGGAAGGCCCGGTCAACAACGGACGCGCTTAACAAAGTTGTCGGTCTGGCCACTTCCGCCATTCAAGGCACCAGATGGAGGCACGGGACGAAGGAATACTGCATCATTGCGACCCTGGATGTAAGGAATGCCTTCAACACAGCTAGTTGGGATATGATACTGAATGCGCTGTCACAATATAATATCCCTAAATATCTAAGAGAGATAATAAAGAACTACTTCAGAGGAAGAACACTGATATACAACACGAGTGAGGGTCCCCAAACTCATACAGTGTCAGCTGGAGTACCCCAAGGCTCAGTGCTGGGGCCTCTCCTATGGAACATCATCACGACGGCGTACTGCGCTTGGAACTACCAGCAGGCGCGCACACCATTGGCTTTGCTGATGATGTAGCTGTCATAGCCATAGGAAAGGAGCTCAAAGATACAGAGGATATGTGCAGCGAAAATATCAATCGCATACGAAGCTGGTTGACATGAGCTGGGCTCGAGCTAGCGGCACACAAGACCGAAGTTGTACTAGTCAGCAGTCGCAAAAGAGTGGAAACTGCCAATATAAAGATCGGCAGCGTCACCATTGCGTCAAAGAGGGCGATAAGATATCTTGGTGTCATGATAGACACAAGATTAACTTTCCGCGAGCACTTAGAATATGTGCATAAAAAAGCAGCTGATTCTTATAGAGCTCTCTCAAGAATCATGCTTAACACGCGGGGACCTAAACAGCAACGACGTCTCCTCCTAATGAGCGTCATTAGGTCTGTCATCCTCTATGCTGCGCCAATATGGGCAAGAGCGATGGCAACGCCGAGCTACAGCCGAGGCATTTGCGCGATCTACAGGCTGAGCGCAATCAGAGTCAGCTGCGCTTTCAGGACTATCTCCGATGACGCGGCGCTCGTCATAGCCGGTATGGTGCCACTGGAGTATTTGGTCGCCGAAGCCGTGGAGCGGAATTCGCACGGGCCTACGCGACTTAACGCTGTCAGGGCGAACAGCATCGCACGATGGCAAAGAAGGTGGAATAGCTCAGCTAAAGGGCGGTGGACGCACAAGCTCATCCCGGAGCTTGAACCATGGGTTAACCGCAAACATGGCGAGGTTAACTTCTACCTTACGCAGATCCTCTCGGGTCATGAATGCTTTCGGAGCTATTTGAAGCGCTTTGGCCACGAGGAATCTGACGAGTGCCCCTGGTGCGAGCGAGGGCATGTGGAAGACGCCAACCACATTCTTTTCGAATGTGGACGGTTCCTGGAGGAGAGGCGTCGTCTGGAAGAGGCAGTGGGCCGCTCCATCAGAGCGGACAACTTAGTCAACGCCATGCTGGAATCGGAGGAAGCTTGGGAACTAACAAGCACCTTCGCGGCCACGGTGATGATGGAGCTCCGCAGAGTCGAGCGTCTGAGAAGACGAGCTGTCCCAGGCTAAGGTAGCGCATAGTGCTTGCGAAGCAATGCTTTACGGCCGTCCCGCAAGCACCGCGCGCTATCCTAGCCACCACGCAACTTGCAATTTGTTATATAATTTTGTCAATAAATGAATATAAAAAAAAAAAAAAAAAAAACACACACACATACACACACATACACACACATACATAAACATACACACACACGTACACACAAGCATAAACACGCATGGGCGGCAGTGAGCGCTTACTATGAGAACTTAATTGCATAATAACTTTTTTTGTGGACGAACGATCTTCATGAAACTTTCAGATTATGATTATAACATGGATATGCATGTAATTGAAATACGCCTTTTACAAATGTGATGGTGAGGGGGTGAATATAGGGGTGGAGGGTAAATTTTAACAAAAACCGAATTTGTATAAATTACATATAAGCATACATTAAAATTTTGGAGACTCTAGCAATAAAGGTGTAGAAGATATAATTTTATAGCTGGTTTTCGATAAGGTTTTTTATCGATAAAAAAAAGATCGGGGTGAGTTATCGATTTTTAATGATAAACTCGATATCCGCGCTGTAATTACGGACATTTAAAAAAAATTGAAGTCTCTAGCTCTTATATCTTCTGAAATCGACGCGTTCATACATACGGACAGACGGACAGGGCCAAATCGACTCAGCTCGTCGCCCTGATCAAGAATATATATACTTTGTGGGGTCTGCCACGCCTCCTTCTGCCTGTTACATACTTTTAACAAAACCATTATACCCTGATTTCCCATTTTCAATGGATTCAGGGTATATTAATAGTGAAAATAAGAAAGGGAACATTTTCGCGGAATAGGGGTATAGACTGCTAGTCGAATATACCCGATGATATAAAAGTGAAACAGTGAAGTGTATGTATATATGTGCGCATATCCAAGCGTGCGTATGTATGTACATGTGATGAATAGCGGAGAGAACCAGCGGTTAAGCGTATGTACGCAGGCGCGCGTATATATGTAAATATGCGCATATGACATTAGGCGAGTATTTGAACGTGGGAACGGACAGTGGACCCAGACCGGTATATAATCAAGTGAAATCAAAAATTTGAAGTCTCTAGCTCTTATATCTATAAATCTAAATAAATGTATCTATAAATATAAATAAATATATAAATCGACGCGTTCATACATAAGGACAGACGGACGGTCGGACAGACGGACGGACGGACAGACGGACATTGCCAAATCGACTCAGCTCGACGCTCTGATCATGAATATATATACTTTATGGGGTCTGCCACGCCTCTTTCTGCCTGTCACATACAGTTCAACAAAACCATTATACCATGATTTCGCACTGAAAATGGGTTCTGGGTATAAAAAGCGAAAAATCCGAAAACGAGAAAAAAGAGACAAAATAAAAAAAAATCAAGAAAAAGGGAAAAAAGATGTAAGGGACAAAAGATAAAGACAACCAATTGCGCAGAAAAATTAAAATATGTTCACGACATGTGACATGTATGATCATTTTTGTGTCTGTATGCAAACTTATCAACTCATGTACTCGCACTCACACTCCCACTCCTTCATTTTTTTTTTTTTTGCTCGGCTGAATATTATGCCATGAGTCCGAGAGCACTCTTTCACTCAACCTATTTTCGGCTTAGCTTCTATGTCACAAAATACATATGTATATATGTATGTATATTGCGAATTGTTAATTTGAACACCGTTTTTCTGGCATTTATGTAGCACTCTAGTGCATACATAAATAAATTCGTATTTACATATATATTGCAAAAACAAATGACATGATGCACTTTTACTAGTTGCAATAGGGAAAATTATATATTTTGAAAATTATTTCTGATTTGATGCACATATGCTGCAGAGTTGCTAGATACGTACAAATAAAATAAGCAAACAAAAGATTCGCTCTTTATTAAAAATCAGCACTGCTTGATAGAGGGCTCGAACTCGGAGCTTAATTTGGTACAAATAAATATCGTTTACATATTGACACTTCAATTTAACAAATTAGTTATATTTGGAAAAAAGTAATAAGGTCCTAGTCGAGACTGTATAAATAACATCAGTTTGCATTTTTTTAGAAGGGAAGTAAATTCTAGAAAATTAGAGGACGTTGATCGATTCTGAACAAAACCATGTTGGGTTGAATAATCGATTTGCAAAAATGTTGTTATAATTTTTCCAAATAACTTCGGAATAGCAGATAATCTCGTAATACCTCTTTAATTTGAAATATCAGACCTTCCACCTTTTTTATATAGAGGAATGATAAGAGACTTTGGAAAAATTGAAGGAAACACAGAAGTTTCCAAAGACAAATTAAACAATTTTAGTAATGGTGGCTGAAGAGAAACACTGCACTCTTTAACCACACAGCTTGGAACATTATCGGCACCAGGAGAGAAATATGATTTCAACGTCCTAATGGTTGCAGCTAGAAAGGGTGCAGTGACCTTAGTAGCATTAATAGAACCATAATCAGAAAGTAAATATGGATGTTAGTTGCTGTAGAGATCAACAGAAGAACAAGTGGATTGAAAGAAATCTGCAAAAGATCAGAGGAATCATGTTGATTACGCATAAACACGCATGGACTGAAGCGTGAGCTTACTATGGGAACTTAACTAAGACTTTGTAGACTAAAACAATTATGGATAACGCTATGACATGATTAGGCAGTATTGCTTACTTACGTCTTTTGGTTTTTCTTCTTTCATAATATCCAAAGAGTCGTCCGTACTACAATTAAACTTGTCTTTACCAACAACCTCCGATAGAGTTGTGGAGCAGTTTGACTGCTTTCGGCCGTCCAATTCGTTACGCATAGTTTCATAACGACGCAACTCGAAATCAATGACATCCATACATAACGATCCGATCTGTTATACAATGTATAATGTAATTAATCGAACTTAATTTTTTTAAACTTACCTTGTACTGCACAATTAGGGGATGAAATTTGGTATACGTTGAGAAGCAAAAGAATATATAAATTATGTTTGTAGACAAATCCAAGCTTTTACGCCAATCTTCACGAAGCACACGAGCTAAAGCACTGAGGCAGGCCTCTGCAAAAGTATATTTCATATAAATGTCTGCTAACTGTGCCTGTACAGTAAAATCACTTGCCATTTTTTTCTAACTCTTCTAGATTGTCGGGATTTCGAGCCATCTGCAATATCATACCAGAACCACGAACCCTCTCGATCAGCTCTTCGTAGAGCAACTCAACATAGTCGTCAATGTTGTTAATGGTCACATCCGCCGTTGGTATGGGTTTTTTTGTGCTATCAGTAGACCCCAATCCTATAGAGTTACTTGATATGGCCACACCATTGTTATATGGCCGTGCTGAAGACCTCATATGAGATGCCTGTGATGACTGACGATTACTTGTACGCGGATTATCTATATATATAAATAGTTTAATAGTTATCAGCATATTGTTAGTGAAAATTGGACTAACCTTTACTAGAATTGTCTTTACGGTTTTTTAGATAAAATATAATTTGCTCCACTTCATTTAGTTGTGACTTATGTATAAGTTCACATTTATCTACTACTTCCCGAGCCAGCGTAGTGGGATCTGTTTTGAAATTCAGCGATCGCAGGCGTATGATTTTTTGGCAATGCTTTATTACCATAAAGAAGTATGTTTTAGATACCCAAGCAATGAAAAAAAATTTAGAATAGGAAAAATCAAATAAACTCGGGGGTTAATACTGAATTTCAAACCTTTTTCTCTTCAACCATGGGATTATCTGGTTCTCCATACACTGTTGCCTCGAGCTGATAGTTAACTATTAATGCCTTGTCTGTAGGATGCGGCTCAATACAGCCACCTTTCCAGCGTCTGTAATAAATGAAAAAGCATATGTATTTGACTTCTTTCAGGTTTGTAAAAGTCAGGGACCGCAAATAAGAGATATGAATTTTAAAAAGATGAGTCAATTTCAAAAGAAGGCCCAAGAAGAGAGAGTTATTTTTTACGGCAAATTCAAAAATGGATAAACTTTTATTTGCAATTTTTGTAAAAAACAAGTAAGAAAGCTCTAGTCGAGACTGCTCGACTACGAGATCCCCTGAACCCTTGGAGCAATAGATATTTCAATAATTTTTCGCGTCTTTCAGCTTACACAAGAAACACGCACACACACACACATACGCACGTACGCACACACAGGCATACATACACACACACGCATACAGACACAAACGCATACACACACTCACATACACACACACATACACAAACACATACATACACATACACAAACACATACATACACATACACAAACACATACACACACATACACAAACACATACACACACAAGCACCTACGCATAAACACGCATGGGCTGCAGTGTGCTTACTATGAGAACTTAATTGTTTAATAACTTTTTTATAGACGTACGATCTTCATGAAACTTTCAAATAATAAATAAAAAAAAAAAAAAAAAAAAAAAAAAAAAAAAAAAATAAAATATTTAAAAAAAAAAATAAAAAAAAAAGAGAGGGGAGGGGGGAAAAGAAAAAAAAAAAAAAAAAAAAAAAAAAAAAAAAAAAAAAAAAAAAAAAAAAAAAAAAAAAAAAAAAAAAAAAAAAAAAAAAAAAAAAAAATTTATTTGGTCCTTTTCGAATTTGAATATAGCCTAAAACTTTACGTTCTAATAAAGTTAAAAAAGCTACTCTCACAAGAACACAAATAATAATTAATAAACTTCCAATTAAAGATATAACTAATTCTATATAAAACAAGTACTATTTGTAAATAATATTACATTAATAAATTCTAAATTTATTGCACTAATCTGCCAAAATAGCGTTATAATTAATAATATTCTTTTTAAAAAATATAATTATTTTAATATTTGGTCCTTTCGTACTAAAATATTAGATTTTTTTAAAGATAGAAACCAACCTGGCTTACGCCGGTTTGAACTCAGATCATGTAAGAATTTAAAAGTCGAACAGACTTAAAATTTGAACGGCTACACCCAAAATTATATCTTAATCCAACATCGAGGTCGCGATCTTTTTTATCGATAAGAACTCTCCAAAAAAATTACGCTGTTATCCCTAAAGTAACTTAATTTTTTAATCATTACTAATGGATCAATTATTCATAAATTAATGATTTTTAAAAATTAAAAGTTTTTTAAATTTTAATATCACCCCAATAAAATATTTTAATTTATTATAACAAAAATAATCTTTATAATTAAAATAAATAAAATATAAAGATTTATAGGGTCTTCTCGTCTTTTAAATAAATTTTAGCTTTTTGACTAAAAAATAAAATTCTAAAAAAAATTAAAATGAAACAGTTAATATTTCGTCCAACCATTCATTCCAGCCTTCAATTAAAAGACTAATGATTATGCTACCTTTGCACAGTTAGAATACTACGGCCATTTAAAATTTCAGTGGGCAGGTTAGACTTTAAATTTAATTCAAAAAGACATGTTTTTGTTAAACAGGCGAATATTACCTAGCAATAAAGGTGTAGAAAATATAATTTTATAACTGGTTTTCGATAAGGGTTTTTATCGATAAAAAAGATCGGGATGAGTTATCGATTTTTAATGATAAACTTGATATGCGCGCTGTAATTACGGACATTTAAAAAAAAAATTTGAAGTCTCTAGCTCTTATATCTTCTGAAATCGACGCGTTCATACATACGGACAGACAGACGGACAGGGCCAAATCGACTCAGCTCGTCGCCCAGAGCCCTGAGCCCTGAGACCCTGTGGGGTCTGCCACGCCTCCTTCTCCCTGTTACATACATTTCAACAAAACCATTATACCCTGATTTCCCATTGAAAATGGGTTCAGGGTATAAAAATTATTTTAATTTTTATAAAAATTAAAGATAATTATTACAGATCAAATTTTATATAAAAATGAACTTAACTTGTATTATAAACTTGAAAATAAAAATTGAATTGAAATATCTCTTGAGCTAAAAAAGCTAAGTCATATATATATATATATATCTATTGGTGATTGGGGACGCTGTGTTGGGTTCTTGTCAATATAAATAACTTTGTGTTCAATGAAGTAATATATTTTATATAATTTAGTAACAATAGGTCTAATCTCTCTCACGTCGGAATGTGAACTGAGCCATATCAGTTGGGTTCTCCCTTTGAATGTCTGACTGGACTCTCCATCCTCCTTAGATTGTCGATAGTGTGTTTGAACGCGTCGATCTCAGAAGATATAAGAGCTAGAGACTTGAAATTTTTTTTCCTAGGTCCGTGTATAGCACGTGCATATCGAGTTTTGCTTTAAATATCGATAAATTGCCCCGTTATTTTGTTATTATCGAAAACCAGTAATAAACTTATATCTCACACATCTTTAAAGCTAGAGTCAGCAAATTTTATATGTATACTTATATGGATTTTATACAATTTCGATTTTTGTCAAAATTTACCCCCCACCTCTAATTCACCCCCTCACCATCACATTTGCAAAAGGCGTATTTCAAATACTAGGAACTTGTGCTTTGGCAAATACATGCATATCTATATTATATTCATAGTCTGAAAGTTTCATGAAGATAGTCCATTCACAAGAAGTTATTAAACAATTAAATTCCCATAGTAAGCCAACACTGCAGTACACTGCAGCCAATGCGTGTTTATACGTGCGTGCGTATGCCTGTGTGTATGCGTGTATGTGTGCATATGCGAATAATTATTGAAATATCAGTTGCTTGAACGGTTCAGGGGATTTCGTAGTCGAGCAGTCTCGACTAGAGCTTTCTTACTTGTTATACCCTGAACCCATTGAAAATGGGAAATCAGGGTATACTGCTTTTGTTAAATGTATGTAACAGGCAGAAGGAGGCGTGGTAGCCCCCTTTAAGTTTATATATTGTTGATCAGTGCGACGAGCTGAGTTGATTTAGCTCTTTCCGTATGTTTGAACGCGTCACTCTCAGAAGATATAAGAGCTAGAGATTTGTTTTTTTTTTTTTTTTTTTTTTTTAAATACCCGTATATATAGCGCGGATATCGAGTTTACCATTTGTATTTTTTTTTTTTTTTCGATCAAAAAAATTATCGAAATTCTGTAATAAATTTATATCTTCTACATCTTTAGAGCTGGAGTCGCCAAATTTTAAATGTAGTTTCATATGTACATAATAGAACTTCTATTTTTGTTATATAAGTTAAGACTTTCGACAATCTAAGGAGGCTGGAGAGTCCAGTCAGACATTCAAGATTTAGTTCAGTTGATATTCGGATTAGAGAGAGTTTAGACCTATTGTTCCAAATTATATAAAATATATTATTTCATTGAACACAAAGTTGTTATATATTCACAAGAGCCCAACACAGCGTCTCCCAATCACTTGTACTCTAGTATGAGAGCGCTTAACTGGCGCCCGAGCAGGGACCCACATTCTTCACGGAAATAAAGGGAAATGGTGACGTGTCAATAATTCTATAAAAATAACTTATTAACAAAGCAAGTACAAATAAATTGTTCCAATCGAATTGGGCAATTGTTGGCAAAATTACGAAGTACTTCGGCGATTTGCAAAGTAATGGGGTGAAAATCCTTGCCATAACATAATACAATAAATAATAACATAATTTCTAGCAAGTGTTGGTGCACTAGATAATTCTATAACATAAAAGAAATCATGGCTAAATGGTGGTATTGGCAATACCTAGGTTCAAATCCGTGCCGAGACGAGTCTTAAAACGAAAATACAAGAAATTTGCAGGCATAATGGTGGTACGAGATTGATTCTCGTATCGTGGTTCAAATCCTTGCCGTAAGACAAATGTCATAAAAAATAAACGTCACAATTTCCACCTGTGTTGAATGATGGGTTTCCGTATAAATTAAAAGAAACCTAGTGGTCAAAGTTAAGTTTAAAGCACGAACTATATAACAAAATTAAAAGGCGGTTGTCTGGAAATCTCTAATCAACAAGCAAAGCATAAATATACAAAAATAAAAACATGAATTGCAGAGACCTTCTATTCGATCGTGGAATAACCCTTAGGTCTTAGAACCAAAGAGGAATACTTTGGGCTTCCCTTTCGGAAGAGAATAAGTCTGGCAACAATATATAAAAGAAACAAGTAAGAACGTTGCAGTCGGGCGTTACCGACTGCGGAATACTCATTCACATCCCATCAACAATTTAGTAGTTAAGTTTCGTTCTAATACTGTAGAATATACAGGTTTTTCCGATTTGCCACGCCCCAACTGGGCGTAGACACCTCATTTTTGGTCAGTTTTTAGAAAGAGATAACGTTACCCTAACTGCAAATTTTGAATGCTTACCCTCAAAAAATGTGAAAATTACAGGGTATTTTTCGATATGCCACGCCCCTAAAGAGGCGTAAAAATTATTTTTGGGGAATCGATAGAGGAGGCTACCAGTAACTCAACTATCCAAATTTGAAGCTTCTAGCTATTATACTTTAGGAGATATAAACTTTTGCGGTTTGCCACGCCCCCTGTGGGCGGACATATATCCGACAAAACTTTTTGGTCTTGGGTGATCAGTCCGAGTATATATACAAAATTTGAGGTCTCTGCCATCAATAGTGTCCAAAATATAGGAGAATTTAAAAAATCACTATATCTTCAGGTCCGATTTGCCACGCCCCCAACGGGCGTAGACTTATAATTTATCTTCAGACTTTATAGAATCATACCATTAGCTGACGTGCAAAATTTCAGCATTCTAGGTTTACAACTTTAGGAGATACAGTTTTATCCGATTTGCCACGCCCCAATGGGCGTAGATATATCCGCCATAGCTCGTGATCTTGGGTGGTCAACGCGGACCTACATACCAAGTTTCAGCTTTCTAGCT